ATTGCCACGCGGAGTCATCTTCAACCGACCGTTGATCCCCTGCACCATACGGTGGGTCGCCCCGTGAACAATCTTGTAAATTGCTGAACAACTTCTCGAACGAGAGAACAATTACCTGCGAAGCGTCTTGTTGTTGTTGACGGCTACCTCCACTTCGGCTGGAGGGTGTCGCTCGAGAGCGGGGGTCGCTCGCATCGCCAACAGGGCGAGGAGGAGATGCTGACGTCATCGCCAGCGGGAAGAACTCGATCGTGTACTCAGCCGTTCCCTTAGCGGGTATCTGGTACGACAAGAAGAAGACCACGACGAATAGGAAGAAGCGATTGTGGTGTGGGTGGGGGAGGAGGCGGGGCGAATAGTCGCCATCTCCTACCAACATCTGCCGTATAGTCCGTGTCTGTAGAACCTTGAATCCTCAAAATGCATGCCGATAGACGTCAAGTTACTACCGCCGTACCTGCAGCTGTCCGGCCCCTTGCCAGTGTTCTCCCTTAAGCACCGGCGTGATAAACCAGTTTTTGTCTGTCGGGTTCTCCAGGCTGACCGACTGAGCGGCCGCGACCCTCGCGCGTGACTTGAAGGACAGCAAGTGGACGCTGTCCGACGGCTGGGACACGCATGATCCGGTCAGCGTCAGCACCAGCGGTGGATGCCCCTTCGCGGTACCAGCACGCGACACCGGGCAGCCAGCCCCCAGAGAGCAGACAGTTTTTTCGGGGGGAAATTTGGAGTTACGGAGGGGGTTTGGGTGGTAATATTAGAGGGTTAGAAATGTCAAAGGCTGGTATCAAAACGAGAGATGAGGGCCAGCTATGGAAGTTGTGCGTAGTTCTTGATACATGCGGGTTAGCGTACACATCGTAGATTTCTGACGGGGATCTAGTGGCTAGAAGCACATCCCGACAGCTTGCGCGGTAGGTACAGCTCCGGAGGGGTGCCGAAAGAACAACCTCGTACAAAAAGGGTCGAATGAGCTAGAGAGCCCGGGAGTGACGATAGTGGAGTCTTGGCTGAACGCAGTTGCACATGATCCCTGTGACGAACGTTCACAGGTAATACATGGTACGTACGTTGCTCGCCTTGCACGCACCTCAACCATGCACAGCACGCCCTCTCTCCGAATGTCGTCGTCCACGTTCTTGGGAGTGAAGACTACCTCTATCCCTGTCTCGGTCAAGGGCGCCACTATCCCCTCTACAGGGGATGCCGAGAAGTGCGGGCCGAAAGTTTCCTCGTTCCATCTGTAAAAAAATTGGCGTTGTTTCATGTTCGTGATGGAAAACAGACAGGGAAACGGAGAAGTTTAACACATCGCGAGGTGTGCATTAACTTCTGAGCATGGATGGACGTGTAATCGGCCTGGACGGCAGGTTCAACGCGTGTAGAGACAGATACACAAGGTCGCGAGCCCCGAGGATCGCGGTTCTACAAAAAAAAACAAGGACCTCCCCCCTCGCCATCCCCTGATTCATCCAAAATGGAACACCGGAAAGCAACCCTGTTCGTCCAGTCTCCCCCGCGTCGCCCTTTTCGGGGGACTCCTAGGAATGGAGAGCGTCGTTCGTTGTCGCTCCGCTGAAACCGACAACCAGTAAGTAGTAGTAGTAGTAGTTTACTAACAGACACCCCCATCTGATATAGCAGTCGCTTAGTAATAGACACGCGCCGCACCTGAATCTAGCCGGGAGGTCTCCTCGGTTTTCGAGCCCAAGACGCTGGGTCCGCTGGCTCCCGGAGCACACCGTGCCGAACGGCAACGCGTCCACCGCGAGCGCGACCTCCATGCCCGTGCTCTGGCCGGAGATGGACAGGAGGGGGCTGAGCTCGGAGGTCGCCCCCGCCCGCATGAACAGGGTTTCCGTAAAGGATGGCATGCGCGCCTCGGGGAAGAAATAAACCTGGGTCGGGTGGGGGGAGCGTTGTTTGTTGTTGTTGGCGTGCGAGAGGTTGCGTGGGGGATAGGTGGAGAGGTGCGTGGAGTTGCTTGCTCGCGAAAATCCAGGCGATGTCGCTCCTTGGTTCTTCGTCAGCCAAAAATAGTTCTCGGGTGGGGGAGCTTTGTTGCGATTAGTTTTGTTGTTGGCGCGCGAAAGGGACACGAGAGGTTGCGTGGGGGGGTCAGTGGAGAGGGCAGGTCGAGAGTTACTTGCTCGCGACAAGCGAGGCGATGTCGCTCCTTGATCCAGCGTTAAGCTCTCGACAGCTAGAAGAAGGGTGATGGCACACTGACCTAAGAGAGTCGCTAACGACCGAAATGAACGTGTCACGCGGGTTGAAATTTTCCAATAAAAAACAACGCTGGGTAGGCGCTGGCGGGAATATTTTTTCCATTTTTTTTGTGAACCGTGCCTAGATCCTATATCTGTATCACCGAGTCTGAGACTTAGGCATGCAAGTTGTTTCCTACCCACGCACTCCATAGGTAGTCACGGTACACCTCAACTACACACTCCCTTTCTCCGCCCCTTCAGTTCCTCCAGATCCCCCTTACGGCAGAACGAATTTCGACACCCTCCACCTTTCAACGCTGACCCCTGCCGGCCGGACAAACACCCCCCCTTGTGATTCCCATGATACTCCGAAGAGTGACGGGTTATGCTCTCTTACCTCGACCATGATGCTCTCTCGCGGACCCAGGGTTGTCGGAAGGGCCGGTACGTATCTTACGCTCTTCGCTTCCAGCCTTCCCGTCCCGAGATCTTGGGCGTCCACCAGCTCAAATTCGATCGCGCGCTTCGATCGGTTGACCACTTTCACCTGAAGGGTGATGTTTGGCCCAACAGATAAAAGGGCGTTCATGTCATCAGGAAGCGAAGGAGTACCAATACTTGGAAACCATCCCCGACAGCAAAACGGGCATGTAGGTCAGCAGTCAGCAGGAAGCGGTACCAACATTTAGAAACTCATCCCCGATAAAACGTTCCCCACTCCTACATCGATGACATTTCACCCCACAACCGACTTCAAGCGGTTTACGTCTTCAGTGCTGCCGAGATGTCTCTTTATCTCGTTGTTCCCACTAGGGTACTCCACGAAACGTGTTCCCCCTCCTCTTCCTTTCTGCGTCCCACAGGGGAACCAACCCTGGTCCACGCGGCCAGAACCAGAACCACGACCAGATGACTCTCCCGCTTCCACACCTGCTTGGCCACCTGCTGCCCCTCGGGCACCATGCCGAATGTCAAGTGCTTCTGGGCCAGGTTCGCCAGCTCGAGGCGCGCGGGGCACCCCTCTCCCACGACGAGGAGCTTGACCGTGTAGCTCCCGTTCACCAGGAAGGGCACGCCAAAGGCGTACTGCCGGGCGTCCCGCGGGGCGAAGTGCAGCGGCACGTCGATGGACTGGCCGGCTTCCAGGACGGTGGGCTCGCTCGTCACCCAGAAGCACCGATCCCCCTGGTGGAGGCAGTCCAGGCTGAGCGCCGCAGACGGGTCGCGGTTGGTCACCTTGAGGATAACGCACTCCGGGTTGGGGATCGAGCCTGGTGACGGACAGGGTTGCGGTGTGTGTGGGTAGGTCAGGGGGGGGAATGTGTTAACTGAAAAAAAATCAACTCATCCCCTTCGACTGTGGTTATATCTCAAACTAGTAGTCTCTGTTTGATTGTTTGTATTTTTCCTAAGAAAGTAGAGCGATTACTGCACAAGTACTTCGAAGAGGAAGGGGAATCGCGCTGGTGCGAAACCGTCGCAAAAGACAAACATGACTACTTTTTCTCAGGTGGGAACCGATCGTTCTACCTCCAAGGAGGCTTGTTGGTTCTTATCATCGCCATGCTCGTACTCCAAGTCAATGTGCAGGGGGGACATATTTGTTCTTATCAAGGTCAGCCCGTACTACAAGTCAATGTGCCGTTGCAGTCACTGTTCCCGCTGTACCCACCTGCGGGGGTGATGAAGCACGGCCCGAAGTCGTGCTTCTGGAAGGAGAAGTGAAGCCCTGGCCGGATCCCTCGGCCGACCACCCGCAGCACGTACTCATACCTAAACGCCAGGATGTATGTGTGTTGTTTTGGGATTTAAGTCCATCACATCACGGTTTCGTTTTTCTTCTCATCATGCCGTCTTCTGCACGCGACACGATACTCCTGGTTTCAACTGTATGCGTATCTTGATGCTATTTTTTTTCGTAATAATCTCGCGCCTGCTAGCCAGCGTGCTGCGTCGATGAGCAAGAAGTGAATGCAGAAAACGTTTGATACAGGTGTCCGTCCTTCAAGAAACAAACATGTTTTTCACACACCTGCCAGCCACCGTGCAGATCAGGTCCTGGCCATCGAGCAGCACCTCCCCTGTTGGCAAAAAGTCAAGGCTAAGCTCCGCACGATCCCCCTTCTTGATACTACCGGCCTGTTTTAAACGAGAGAAAGAAGCACCGCGGAAACTGAGAAACGGACAGTTTCGACGACATGGAAGAGCACCCTTGACAACAACTGAATAAAAATAGATGCAGTCGCGGAAACTAGAAACACCGTGTGCATTTTGTGCATTGTGTGTATGATGCCGAGGGTAAGACCGTGTGTTGACCGCTTGTGCCATATCTATCATCATGTGTGCGTCATGTGCACTGCACCTGTTTTGCGCCAGAAAGGCGAAGCGCAGGACCCGATGGCGTGCGCCATTGCCACAAATAGTCCACGCTGAATTTTCCTGGGTTGACGATAGTAATCTGATTGATGATGAAGAGCGACAAAGACATGGATCACGAAGCAATAAATGCACCAGCAGGACCAGGTCAGGAGGTCTGGTTTAGCGATTGTCGATGTTGGGTTGTTTCGGCGACAAGGGTGCAGGGGATCGTACAATCGAGACGTTTGTGCACAACACATCTCAAAGGCAGGCCGACTGGTTCATATCTGGGTTCGAGAACACCAAGCCCCGGCGACAACGGAGAGGGAAAACACACGGTACCTCCACTGATCCTACATACCCTATGCACAACGCACAGTATTTTTCGCCACCCTCCAGCAAGCGCAAAGAAGACCATGGCAAAATGCTTGGGCGTCACTTATTTTGGTTTCAAAATGAGTTTCGGAGCCGGCTCATGTGGGCGGAACGAAAGCGAACGGGGGGAGTAAGTGGATCCCACACCTTCCGTGCCGCGCGCTCGTTGATGTGGATGCTGCCGAAATCAATGACGTTGATTTGCGGGAAGGGAAGAAGTTCGAGCGCGACAGCGTTCTTGCCGGCGCCACCGTCTCCGCCTCCTCCGTCTCCTTGGGCTTCCACTGCCCCGCTTCCCCCGGCGGCAGCGTCGGCTTCCGCCCCTCCTTCGTCGGCCCCGCCCTTCCCTTGTATCAGCAGCTTCGCGTGCACCTGGGGTGCGGCACAAGATTAGTTCCGGTGGTCAACGGAAGTGGGGTTGTATGTATTAGATCGGAGAAATCATCGAGTCATTCGTGTACCTCGGTTGATGGGTCACGAAAGTTCGTCCCGACACGGGAGGAGGGCGTGTGTACTCGCATTTGTTGTGCACCTGGGCCGTTCAGCGTGAGGTAGCAGCGGCGTACGCAAGGCTGTCGTGCGTGAAGCGGGGACAGGACGGTTTCGCGGACCCCCTCCTCAAGCGGCTTCTAGAACGAGGCGTTATCACGATGTCTAACCTCCCCCCCCCATCCCCCCCCCCCCGATGTTTGCCATCGGGGTTTGGGTTTTCGTCGCTTGGCAACGACGTTGTAAAACATGCCGCCCCCCCCGGTGTTTGTCATCGGGATTGGGTTTTCGTCGCTTGGCAACGACGTTGTAAAACAAGCCAATTCACTCCGTGAACTCGGCAACCAGGTTACCGTTTTTTTTTTTTACCTCGGTTTTTTTTTTGGCGGTAACCATAATGGTGGTCGAGTAGATCATGTTGTGCGGGGTCGAGAAACCTCACTCCGCGCAACGGGGGATGATCGTACCACGTTGTGTTGAAATGGTCAAGCTTCCTCGAGGCAGTTACACAGTGCTCACAACTGTCTCTGGAAGTGAAAGCACCAGAAAATAAATTAAGTCATACGTAGCTGTCATCCGTACGCAAGGAAGTAAGCACAAGATGCCGAACAC